CTCTCACTCTCTCTCCCTCTCTCTTAAAGAAACAGCATTCCCCCTCCGTGTCCTCTCCCTCCTCCCTCCGCGAAGCAAAAGTAAAGTGGAAATTTCTTTGCGCTCAAAAGTGGACAGTTGTCAAAGTCATTAACTCAATCAGAGACGACACAGATCATTAACCCATGCCTTCCCGCTCTGCGGTTTGGCAGTGGGCGTCAGCCAGCGTTTCCCTCTGTGGACGTTCAAATGTTTGGTTTCAGGGTAAATGAGTTGTAACTCTTGTCAATTCTCACCCGCCTCATCTCTCAATACTGCTTTCCTTTCCTATGTGAGTGGAGTCGCACCCACCCATCCTAGTGCCTGAGGTCATGGTGTCCCACCCCAAAAGCAAGTCTTGGCACATTCCAGCGTGTACAGCAGGGGCTGCCAGCAACCCCCTTGTTACACTTTCTGGCTCGGCCCGGTCTCTCTGCATAATACCAGCCAAGCTCCAACAGGTGAGGCGGCAGAGGAGACGTTACCAAGTCCAAAAGTGTCTCATCCACCGTGGGGAATGGCAAGTTCCCATGTGTAAATTTGCAGCTATTGCACTTGATGTTGCGCCACTTCCAACCGCCCACCCGCACGCCCCCTCAGCGAGTGCAAGCCAGCCATTGTGCCATAGAGTGGGATAGAGCACAAGATGTGTTTGATGCTTCTGTTGCAACATAAACCATCCCAACACACCTCTGAAAGCACTGCTAAGTCTCAGATCTCACACACACACTTGACAGGACGTACTTTTCACGGTGTTGCTGCCTGTAAACAGTCACCTCTTGGCTCCAGTCTTGCAGGAGTCGTGTCCCACAGTGCAGCAGGGCTTGGCACTGCACAGACAACCATGCAGGGGAATCAAGGGGCTATTTGGCAGGGAGAGGTAGTGACACACCCTTTATCTAGAGGGCACTGTTCTGCATAAGCACAGAGGAGCCACGGCTTTTTTTTTTAAACTTCAGAAACACACATGAATTGCAGTAGTTTGGACGTTTGGTATCTTCACTTGCTGTAATTTGCAATGCTAAGTGAAGAGGCCTGCAGGTGGA